GTAATTACTCTAATTCTTATTTGGATGAAAATAATAAGAACAACAAATATGCCAAACTTGCACATGATATCCCTCCGCACTATGCCATTAATCCTTAATTAATGTTTTCTTTTTGCTAATTAGTAATTACTCTAATTCTTATTTGGATGAAAATAATAAGAACAACAAATATGCCAAACTTGCACATGATATCCCTCCTCAATTCACGCTTACAAACGGTTTTCCCACCCACTAGACAGAACATCATATGTGACCCCACATATAATGTATTCTCTCGGTGTGTGGGAGCGCCTTCCTTTTGGAAGAGGAAAAAAAGAATGGCTCAAAGTTTAAAAGAATGTAAATTCCATGATTTCTATATCATCTAAATGACAAATCTTGTATACTAAAAAACCATTATTGATCCACCCCAAGATCGCCCCATCGCACGTTGTATCGGGCTGCAAGATAGTGGGCTCCGATGGGCCCACGACTCCCGTAGGGGTAGTACTCTGGCACTATTTTCTTCTCCTCAATCTCCTTTAAAACTGGAGTGAAGAGAGACCAAGCAGCGTCGAGTTCATCACTTCGAATGAAAAGTCTCCTCTCCCCTTCTATTGCGTCAAGTAGAAGCCTTTCATATGCATCCGGGATCTCCTTAGAGTACCTTTTGTGATAGATAAATCATTTGGGAATATTCATAAATGGTGAGGGATAGTTTTGTAAATAATCTTGTCAAAAGGGAGAAACAAAAAAAATGGCTTCAAAATAAGTAGGTAAAACCTACTTATTTTTTCTGGAGCATATAAGCACATTATAACATGTCATCAGCTAAGTTAAAAATCACTTATAAGTTTTGACCGATTTATAAGTTATAAGCACAGAGAAACACCCACTTTGTAGAAATAATAGGTCAAAACCACTCAAAAATGAAAACAAATAGGCGACCAAGAAATAAGGCAAACGACTGGGAACCAACCTGGTAGAATAAAGCAGATTAAGATTACTGCGGTCCAACCTCATTCCCAGACCAGGGACCTTGTTATTGATCTTTAAAAAGACCGCTTCGTCGGGCTGGACACGGATGACTAGCTCGTTTGTTGCCCGGTCCAAGTCCGACCCAAAGTTTTTGTTGTACAGATTTCCCGGCACGTGCCTAAACTGCACTCTTATCTCGGCGCTGAGATGAAAACAACAGAATGGAGGATTAGTTAACAATCCATGCTTGTTTAGT